GAGAAAAGAGGTTTTGAGGACCAGTACCTCTGGTTTCTGTTCTTCAAGGATCTCTCTGACTTTGTGTGTTTTTATTCCCACCTTTCTTTTGAGTAGAAGCAAATGTCCCTTTTTGTTCTGCATTGCTCAGGGAGTGGTTTCAGTGGACAGGGAACTGAAGCTGTGCCCGAGGGCAGCGGGAGGCTCAGCAAAGCCGCTGCACCTCACAGAGGCAGCAGTCCTCCTTCTCTGCCCAGGTCAAGCCACTTTGGGACAATCCCATTTTAAGAGGTGCATCAGTGTGTCAGAGCAGGTGGTGGGGATCCAGTAATAGCCTTTGGACATTGCACGCTTCTTTCCTGCAGGTGCTTAATCGAGTAGTTTCTATGCATGAACTTAGTGAACCTTCTGACAGCCTGGTAAGGGAGCTACTCTTATTATCCCCATTTATGGGTGGGGAAAGGGAGGTTTGGGAAGGTTACAGAACAGGCCTACGGTCCTATAGTGATGAGGCGGCAGAGCCAGAGTCCCCACTTCTGCTGGCGCTTGGGTGTGGAATGCTCTTGAGGCCTGGCCATGTCAGGAACCAGGGAGGATGGTGATGCTCTCTGCCAACAGAAGCAAAGTCCTTAGGAGGTCCGAGAGCATTCACATTGTGAGAGGGTTCTAAGCATCATGGGACAGATCAGTAGCAAAAGTTCTGGGAGGGGGTTTCTGTGTGGAGCGGGGTGGGGGTGTGGGGGGGAGGGGGGCAGGGATGTTTTCTAACTGGGCTCTCTGAACCTGAAACCATCACTTGAACTTTTGAACCCTGGAGTACTGCTGGATATTTAAGCAGAAGCGAGGCCATCCATAGGAGACACAATGGGGGGGGATTCCATTATTGGGGTAAGAGATGGAATTACATGTTTTATAGGTTGCCTCCAACCTTTGTGATAAGATTTTGTATGTTTGGAAAGCTCAGAGTGCTCTGAGGTTGGAATTTGAGCATAATTCCATATAGTTGAGATTTTTCTTAATAGGTGAATTAGGGAGAATAATTATTTTAAAGTAAAATATATTGTCACAGATCATCTAGGAGTTCATTTGTTTGGATACCCACCTGACTTTTTGTTTTTAGATTTTATTTATTTATTTGAGAGAGAGCAAGCAGGAGCAGGGCTGAGGGGAAGGGGGAGGGGCAGAAGGGGAAGCAGACTCCCTGATGAACAAGGAGCCTGATGCAGGGCTCAATCCCAAGACCCTGAAATCATAACCTGAACCAAAGTCAGACACTCACCAACTGAGCCACCCAGGCACTGTCCCCCACCCCCAACCTGTCTTTAAACAGAGGATCCTTTCTTTTGCTGGGTTTAAATTTTGAAGCCCTAGGATCTTCCTGAATTCCACTTCATCTCATTAAAAAATAATAAATAGCATTAAGGAGTGAAAGTCTACCAGTCTCTGAATGAAGCACTTTACACGCACTTTTTCATCTGTTCCTTATAACAATCCCTGTAGTTACGTGTTATCCTCATTTTCCAGATGAAACAAAAGCAGAGAAGTTTAAGTGGGCCGGATCGCAGTGTTGAGCTAATCATCATCATAACTGGCACCCAGAGAGAAGTTTGGATCCCCTGAGCTGATCCCCTGAGCCTTCTCATAGATGTTGTGGGACCAGCACCAAGTTTATTAGCAAAGAGCCCTGGGTGTCGATACAGAGTTTGACGTCTCAGGGTCAGGCAGATGGCAGGTTGGCCCTGGCTGTTTTTGTACTGGGGGGGTCCTCAGTCATTGTTTGGACAATATGGGAACACCGGGTCCAGCTGTGAGAAGTTGGCCAGCACAAATGGTCCAGGATCCGATAAAGAGACAGGTTCTCCCACCCTGTTCTGAACAACAGGAAGTCTTCTAAAAGATTGCTCCCAGGCCCATCACACACTGGCTGATTTTCCACCTCCTCCCCTCCAGGCTCCAGAGGCCTGTTCTGTTCACTTTCTAGGCCTTTGTTTTTCCTTCCATGATGGCAGGTGATGGCCCCAGGACCTCTCCTCCCTCTAGCCCTTGTCCTCCTCCTCTTTTTCCACTTAACTAATGGTAGGTGAGAGGAGAACTCCAGAGCTTCCAGCCAGACTAGCAGGGCTTCTGCCGAGTCCCTTTTGAGGGGACTTATGTCTTGAGACCCTTGGGAAAGAACTGCACTCCCCCCCTCCCATTTTCAGTTGTTTCTTTAAAATTGGGACCTCTGGCAGATTGCCCGTTTAAGGATCATTAACTTTGGAGGATGTCCTGATTGTTTTCCGGGAAAAAATGTAAAATATGGCTAAAGTTTATTATTTAGTTGTCTACTTAATAAACATGGTCAGGAAGAAGGTTAATTTCTTTTTTTCTGACTTAACCCAAGTGTTATATGGCCATGGTGGAAAAATTAGGAAACACCAAAGTAGAAAAAGGAGGAAATAGAATTGTGCATAATGCAGTAAATCCGGTCTTTGTAATCTTATCACCCAGAAAATAAGGATGATTGACATTTTAGTCCGTGTTCTGAGGGTCATTGTTGATGAGAAGCTCTGCTTAAGAGTCAGGTAGACCTGGGTTACAACCTGCCTTGGGCATCTTCATTTCTGTGTATCTTTGTTTCCCCAATAATGAAATGAGAATAATAGCAGTACCCGTGAGGATTTCGGTAAGAGAACATTTGTAAGTGTCTTAGCACAATGGGGGGCATGATGATGCTTGATGAAAGTTAGTCATCATTATTAGAAATGGTAACCCTGCCGGGCTGTGCTAGAGAAGCACTGGGTGTAGACATCTGTGTCAGCGATCAGCTGTGGGCGCTGAGTTCATCACTCCACCACTGAGTTGTGTCTGCTGCTTTCCATGACGGGCCTGGGATCTTTCAGTCAGGTAACCAGGTGGTGAGGAAAGTTAAGAAGACTAGGGTCACACTGCTGCTTCCTGGCCCAGTCTCCACTAGGGCTAAATGGTCCAAAGGACAGAGTTAGTCAAGCTAGACGAGGCCCTCCCGATGGAGCATGTACCTGAGCTCCTATATCCAGCACTCACCTGTGTCCTTCCTGGAGGCCCGAGTGTGAAGACACCAATTTGGTGTGACTCCAAATTCAAACAGAACTTATTTTCTGAAAATAAGTCCCAGAATTATGTCGACTTCCTTACCCTTTATGATAAGTCTTGTAAGTATAAGCATATAAGGGAAATATTAGTGCGCTTAGTGTTTTTCATTTGTGCCATTTTTTTGGATGTTGTTTAAAACATGGGTTTGCCTTTGGGCATTTAGGAAGAAATGGCAAAATGATAGACGATTCTGGAGCGTGGAACTTGGCTGGCAAATTTTCCCTCTGTGCATGATTTGTGGGTCTATAGATGCTGACTGTTTTGTTTGAGAATGTGTTCTCCTGTGCTTTCTTCCTCTAGGTAGAAGTTCAGGTTCAGTGAAATGGTCTTTGTCTTGCCAGGTCTGGGTTGTTTGGAGGGTTTTTTCCTTGTAGATTCTCGCAAGCAGTGAACTGAGGCTCATTTTCAGTTCCTTTTCAGCACCTGGTAAGGAGGAGACATGCTTCCTTAGCTTTCCTGATGATCATTGCTGCACAATTTTAATGGAAAGCGAACTTGGTGCCCAGAAAGCAATTTCAGGAGAGAACACTTTTCCATACCTTTAGAACTCTTGTGGCTTTGGAGGTGAATGATTTCTAGGCAGAACTTGAGCAAAGGCATTGGAAAAGATGTTTAAGGGGCTCTGGGTTTGGAGGAGAGATCCTGGGAAGACCTGGTTTATCCTGTGCGTCTACACCAGATGCCCAATGAAGCCATGAGGAGTTAGCTGGGGTCCATACCCGCGCACTATCTTCCCACATAAGTGAGCTTGGTGTTTTTTTATTTTTATGTGTGTATGTATGTCTGTCTGTTTTTGAGAGGAGGAGTGGCTGAGGGGGAGAGAGAGAATGTTAAGCAAGCTTCAGGCCCAATGCAGAGCCTGATGCAGGGCTCAGTCTTGGACCCTGAGATCATGACCTGAGCCAAAATCAAGTTGGGAGTTTAACTGACTGAGCCACCCAAGCGCCCCTAAGCTTGTTTTTTAAAGGTCAAATTAGTTTAACTATTTAAAAATTAGTTTTTAACTATTTAAATGGACTCCCATTTCTCAATATCAATGGCCTTCAGGAAAGCTATTCCTATGAGTCATGTCAGTATTTTTGTTGATACTTGTCTGTGTGTGTGTGTGTGTCTGTGTGTGTGTGTATGTGTATGTAATGATTTCTGGGCTGTGGAGAGATTTCCTGGAATTTACGAGCCCTTTCTAGGACTGCCCCAAACTAGCCACTGGTATTCCTGAGGGGGTTCTCACCCGGCCTAAGCCGCATTATTCTTCCTGCACTGACATGGTTTGGACCAGGTGCTAAGATCCTTTCTCCCCCTACAAGTGTTTGGGTGAAGGAGAAGAAGGAAAGAAATTGAAACAACATTTGGATGAAGTGGGTACAGTTGTTGAATTTTTAAAAGGTCACTAGAGCTTTGTGGTATTTGTTACTAGGTTTCCTTTTATTAATTTTGTTGCTTTGGTACCTCAGCAGAGGCACTGCCAGACCCAAGTTTCATGTACCAGGTGTTTCCTTCTGCCTTCACATTGCCTGAGGCAGATTGAGTGTGTTAATGTTTTATAAGTCAGACTTTCCAACTCCTTAATCACTGCAAAGTTGTTGGCTGACTTCCCTGCAGTCTTTAGATTCGCTGTTCATTATCGAGGGTCCTCACTTTGCAGAATCGGATTTGGGTGTGGTTGTGTTAGAAACCGGCATTATTGTGGTTGGAATATCCTGAAATAAATGATATATGGAAAAAAATGTTGTTGCATATGTCCTTGCTTGGCTCGTTTGAGTGCCTGCCTGTCACACACTCATTTAAATTTGACTTTTAAGTAGGGCGCTTTGGAAAATTGAGCGAAGCCAACTCTCAGTGACTTTTTTTCCCCCCTCCGAGCATTTCTTTCCCTCTAATAATGTTGCATATTTTACTTTGTCTAGGCTTTTCGAGAAAGACATGTCTGACAAGATGTCTAGTTTCCTACATATTGGAGACATTTGTTCTCTGTACGCGGAAGGATCGACAAATGGATTTATTAGCACCTTGGGGTAAGAGCTCCTGATTTCTTGTATGGCAGGATTTCTTTAAGACCTCTTAATGCCAGCTTAAAAATGAATTTTTCTAAGATAAGAATGTTACCATTTGATGAGGCTTTTCCAGGGGCAGTTGGAATCATGATACCAAATCTCATGTTAGCCAAGTTTACCTCTGAGACAAAAATACTGTTTTCTTGGAAGTCCTGGAAGAGTAAAATCTCATTAATTAGGACCCTTGTAATTCAGAATTTATTATAATTTCCTATTCCTTATATAAGGGGGGAGAGTACAAAGTCTATGGGATAAAATTTTAGGATGATTCTTTATAGACCCCAAAGAAGTGCTTTTTGACTTTCATAAAAGCTCTTATTTTCATATGCTGACTTGTTTGTCATTTAAGGAAAGACCAGAACTTCTCAGATGCTTATCTCTCTTCTTTGAAGCAGAACCTTGCCGATTTTAAATTGCAATGTGCATTTGAAAGTTACATGTTACACAAAGTTCTGTAAATCAGATTTTTGTTCTTTTGTGCTGTCTTCAATTTTTACCCAACTTTTAAGAGAGTAAGTACATTCCACAATGTCTTTATTTGATTATCTTCTCCCTTCTCCTTCTCTCATTGTCCAGAAGAGGAAAGAAGTGAAATAGCCCCAAACACAGAAAAAAGCAGAATGGAGAATCAAGATGGTTAACTCCAGAAGGCGTACGAATGGTCTAGGTTGTCTTTGTGTAGAAAGGAGGAGTTAGGCCCCGGGCTGGAATTGTTGAATTTGGCAGGAGCTGATCTCAAATTGGGGAGAGGAAAGCCAACAGCTTCCCTAAGAACCTAATTCTTAGAGCAGCCAGAGTCTTTCTTTTAATCAAAGCTATTATTTAAAGCATGCTTGGTCTCTGGTATTTGTGCAGAATGAGTACTCTCGGGCTCTCGTTCAGGTCACTCCAGCTGCAAGGAGCAAATTATTTCACATATAGAAGTATAGCTTAATTGCATAAAGATTTTGCATAAAGACTTCATTGCATAAAGATTTTGTTTTCAAAAGTCATCTGATAAAAAGCAGTCATCCGTGACTCTGATACCTAAATCCAGTGACTGTTTCTCAGTCCTTATCTTTTTTTTTTTTTTTTTTAAACCTGTCTACACTAAAGACCCACTCTTCATAATTTATCTTCCGTGGGTTTTGGCAAAGAGGCCCTTTGCTGCCCGTGCCTCTCTGATTGTCCCTTTTTTTTCTTCTTGGCTGATTCCTTCCTTTTCCCTTCCCTCCTGTTGGAATCCTCCATCCTCTTGCTTTTCAGCAGGTAAAGCAATGGTAATAAACAGCAGAGGTCGCCACTTCTGTGAGTCCTGCGGATGTGTACAACACTGTGCTAAGGACTGTCCACACATAATGCCTTGAATTCCCAAACACGTCTGCATAGCAAGTACCATCATTTTTGCTCTTCATGAAGGCAAAGCCTCTGAGCTTCAGAGAGGTGAGGTCACCTGCCCCAGATTCCACAGCTCCAGACTCCAGGACCAGTGCTCGTAACAGCTGCCCTTGGCAGGGTCGACTTTCCATTCCCCACCTTTTCTGACCATCCATCTGTGGCAGAATTGGCTCACCAGCCTCCTCAGTGCCCACAGCTCTTACCTGGCTTCCTTGTGAAACCTCAACCCCACCTTATGCCTCATCTTTTCTCTGGGGTCCTGATTTCTTGTCATAGTGCCATTAACCCTGCAGTGCTTACGTCCAGTCTATAGCTGAGCCCACTTGTGGCAGCCCCTGAAATCTTTCATGCTGCCTTGCTTTTCGTCCTCTTCCATAGCATCCATTCTTAGAATCCCTATCAGGTACAAAATCTTTGCTTTATAAGAGTTTTCCTCAAGTATTATAACAAATTATTATTATTTTTATTTTATTATTTTTTAAATTTATTTTCAGCGTAACAGTATTCATTGTTTTTGCACCACACCCAGTGCTCCATGCAATCCGTGCCCTCCCTAATACCCACCACCTGGCTCCCCCAACCTCCCACCCCCTGCTCCTTCAAAACCCTCAGGTTGTTTTTCAGAGTCCATAGTCTCTCATGGTGCACCTCCCCTTCCAATTTCCCTCAACTCCCATCTCCCCTCCATCTCCCTATGTCCTCCATGTTATTTGTTATGCTCCACAAATAAGTGAAACCATATGATAATTGACTTTCTCTGCTTGACTTATTTCACTCAGGTATTATAACAAATTATTATTGTTATTTTTTTTAAACAAATTATTGATAAGGTCCCCACCCCTGCCCCCACATTTTCCTTAATGTGCAGGTGGTCAATTTTGAATTTTGGGCTCTAATACTTACCTCAGAGGAATATTCCCTTGGTTCAAAATGGACTTGGAAACTAAAGTTTAGCTTCTTTTTCCTTTTAATATTTTTGACATTTCTGGAGCACCCATTGTGAATGACAGCGAGTGACCACCCTGTTTTTGTGGAAGTTGGCATCTAGCTCCCTAGCCACATTCCGTTTATATAGATGGCGGTTACCTCCCCAGTGGCTTTATTGACTCCTCGAGTTTCAGAGCTTGAGCCGGACCTTGGAGAGCCCGTGTGCATGCACATGTGTATCAGAGGCGTGCTTCTGAATCACCCGAGAAACATGTTAAAAATCAAAGTTCTCAGACCCCATCCTGGAACACAGCTTTGAGAGGCCTGGGGATGAGGGGGACCTGGTATCAGGAAGTCTGAGGAACATCATCTTACTTGAGACTCCTTGAGACCAGCTCTATAATTTTACAGATACAGGAACCGAGACCAGGAGGGATGAAATGACATAATCGTCGTCAAGCTGCTCGTAGGCGGCAACGTGCCATCTACAATTCATTTGTCTTTTGGGCTAGGCTGGGGCCCTTTCTCTTACCCCTCCACCTTGAGAACTTGCTAAGTACTTAACCCAGCACTGTATTGGATTCCAAGGCACTCCCCCACTTCACATACTATGATAGCTCTGGTGGCATTACTATATTTACACTCACAAGGGCTTCAAATGGGAGTTTTCTGTATGCACATTCTGTTCTTGACTTTTTGCATAAAAACTCGAGCCATTGACCACATTCTTCCTCTTCTTGAGGGAGAGAGATCTTGTGTCTTATACCCAAAGGCAGCAAGGTGCTGGTGGGTTACTCTCGCCACTTTGATTCACACCAAACACAAACGTATAACTGAGCACCTAGCCTGGGCAGGAAAATGTACCAGTGGTGGGCATCTTTTGGGCCACAAAGCAGGCAGCTCTGTGCCCCTTGGAAGCTCTTAGCTTACTGCACCATTTGTGCTTCTCCAATGAGGTGAGGAAGACAGGAGGAGAGGCAGGGAATGCCGGCTCAGTGGGAGCGCCTTCATGGAGAAGATGGGGGCTCTGAATGAGTCTGGAAAGACAGGCCAGACTTTAGGAGGTGAAACAGAATTTTGGAGGAAGGGGTGAAGGCAAACTACTTAATGGTGCCTTGCCTTTGGAATAAAGAGCAACACAGACTAATGGAAGGAACCCTGGAAAACTGAAGTGTATGAGCAGGCTGCAAGTTCTGTGGTTACTTTGCAAGTGACCAATACCAGTTTTAGGAACTTGGAGAAGTCATTTAAACTTCTCAGCCTCAATTTCCTCATCTATTCAAAAAAATACATTATTTTAAATCTGTTCTAAAGGAGTTGTACATGTCAGTTTGGTCAGTCTGAACTTCTAAATACTGGGTCTGTATATAAATTGGGCCTGGTCATTTATTTATAACTTTTTGCACTTTCCCTACCTTCATGTCGATTTCCAGTAGTTCCATATGACTCTCTCTGCCAGCAGCTTCTCAGATGGCCTCAGGCACTGTTAGTTCCCGGCTGTATTTTGTTCTTCTTTCTCTTAGAGCCCCTAGGTTATATTCTCTTTTTTAGTTTGCTTTTGTGGCTCTCAAACTAGCCTTGAGCTCCCTCGGGGCAGGGCCTGGTTCATATTCGTCCTCACGTCACGGGGCCCGGCACTCTGCCTGGCACTGAATGGACCCCTCAGCTACCATAAGCTGAATGCCCTCACCCCTTGCTACGCCTCCCGACTTCAGCATTTTTGCATGTTTTGCTCAAATCCATCATGGATGTGGTTAAGGGAAAAGAGCCACAGAAAACGGTAGGTTAATGTGTGCATTGCAGGAGCAGAACCTGGGCTTTTGGATTAGGTGTAGCTCCCTGTATGGGAAGCCTCTAGTGTAAATGGCCTCCTAGCAGGGGAACACGGCCATCCAAGTTTTGTGTAGGAACAGCACTGGATATTCAATTTTTGCATCGTGCTTAGGTTTTGTTTTCTTAGACTTGGCTTGATAGAGCATTTTTCTTTGTCTTCACAGTCTGGTTGACGATCGCTGTGTTGTCCAGCCAGAAGCTGGGGACCTTAATAATCCACCCAAGAAATTCAGAGGTAAGTTGATGTCCTTCTTGGAGTGGGTACCTCCCTCATTTGGAAATTCATCAAGTGTATTGCTGTGTATGTGTGTGTATATGCGCGTGCACATGCGCTCACACGTGTGGGTTTAATAAGCAATTGTAGGTTTATTTACTTACATTTTTTTACAGTATGATTTCAAGTCCAAGCTTTGTGACCTTTTGAAAATGTGTAAATAAGCTCAGCGTCAAGATTGGAATGGGCTTTCATTAGAGCCTTCATTTGGATATTACATATGTGTTGATCAGTGCAAATTCAGCCTAAACCCTTACATTTGTGCACCTCTGTCCCTAAACAAACAGGATTTCTGGGTCTCATCACAAGGAACGTGTTATTGCAGCCAGTCTCACTGTGCCTTTGGGGACTCTGGTATTCTTAGATGCTTCCACCTGGAAGGAGAAGATGTCTGTTATTGCACTTAGTTTTTGTTAAAAGACCTAGGCAGGACACCCTTCCTACCAGTAGCTTCCCACTACTGGTTTTCTTTCTAGGCCTCTTATATTTGGTATCTTCCTCTGAAGGTAGCTTAGTTTATTCCAGAAGGTGCTTAAAATATAGTTGGGATGTTAAGAGGATAAATGTTTTGTTTTTCTTCTTAGCTTTTGTGGTTTGTAGTTCTTAACTCCAGCTGCATAGTAGAATTATCTGAGGGAGATTAAAAATTAAACAGGTACTCAGGGCCCCACTCCAGACCAATCAAATGAATCTCTTGAGGTTGGGACCTGGGCACTGGCATTTTTTTTAAGCTTCCCAAGTGATTTTTTTTAAAAAATATTGAGGTGGGGTTGAGAACCCATTGAGTTAGGGTTTGACTCATGGCCTCAGTCCCAGAGGGCTCACACCTTGCCATTTTTCGGTTACATCATTTGAGTGGTAAGTTCTTATTGTTAATTGATGTAGAAACCGTTTGACTTTTGATAAAAGCTAAAGGAATTAGAATAAAATAGAAGGCAGACATTCAGATGGAGAGAAGCCATTTAGAAGATGTTTGGTGTTGGACTGCATCCAGTTGGCATGAGACTATCAGAATATTTTCACCTGGGAGGTGGTGAGGGGGACTGTCGAAAAAGAAAATTGTTGCCATAAGCCCTGTGTGACAGGATCCTGAACAGCTGTGGCTCCTGAAGCCTTTTCTTTCCAATTCTTCCTTCATGGCTTTTTCCAAAACAGAATCCCAAATGCAGCAGAAATAAAAGATTTGATCTAATAATTTTAATCCAGGCAGTGATTTACAGAATTAATTCTCTCTGCTGAATAATAAAATATGCCTCAGTTTATCTTCTAACAGGGCCAAGATCAGTAGACTCTGAGCCAGGTGCTGTGCTAAGCGTTCTGCATACATTTTTAGCGCATGGGTTCCTATGTCTGCCTTGGGAGGGGATTGAGGTCCTCAAAGTCTATGGTTAAGTGTCTTGCCTGAGTGAGGTCACACAGCTGGTGATAGATGGAATAGGAGCTGTAGGTCTCGACTTTGGCTAAAATCACCTGGGGGACTAGGAAAAATACCGATGTTAAAGTTCCACCCTCAAGGATGGTCATTTAATTTAGGATTGATGGTTTCCTTTCTTCTTATTCTTATTCTAAAAGCTTCCCAGGTGATTCTCCTGTATAGCCAAGGTCAAGCACCCCTGCTAATAGAGCCTGGCCTGTCAGCTCCTGGCTTTATTACTTAGGGGTGAGCTGGGTGGGGTGTGGCTTTTGCAGCTGGAGCCAAGTAGAAGGTACTCATTGCTTGGGTCCAGTGTGAGCACTTATCCCATTCTGCTCATAGGCCCACTAGTTGAGAGAGGAACCTGGGAAAGGTGTTCATGCCCTGTACAAAGTGAACTAGTGGCTATTTGAATATGGGTTTAGAATGTTAAAATAAATGGGACCATAGCCAGGGAAGTCAGAAGATGTACATGTTTTCCTGGTACTAGGGTCAAAGTGCCTAGTGCTTCGATAGATATCTGATGGCCGATTTGAAGGGACTGTTTTCAGATAAAAGTGACAGTTTGATAGAGGCTGATTGGAAAGAACCAAACTTTGTTTATGGCCCGGCCTGGTTCTACAGGTGGTCACATGACTGGGTCCTGATCTGTGTTGACTGCTTGTCCTCATAAATAACGGTTTCTAGGTTGTGAGGTGCTTTGCACTTGTGGAAAAATCTGGTTCCAAGCAAACTCTGCTGCAGGCTTTGCAAATGTAGGTCAGGACTGCCTGGGTTTCTTGTGCCGCACCCGAGGCTCTCGGCTGGCAGGTGAGGGGCCCAGGCAGAGGGCCGCAAAGATCTCTCCCTTGGAATCCAGGCAGCGAGGTTTTAAACACTTTCCTAAGCAGCCCTTCAGTTCTAGTGTAGCATTCCTTGAAAAAAAAAAAATTTTTTTTTAACGTGAAGAAACTGATTTCTCTTTTGGAAGAGATTATTGCCTTTCCAAATACAAGTGATTTTGAAGTTGAAGTAATTTTGATGTTTAGAAATTGTGCATAGGGCAGTTGGACAATTTGGAGTCATTTCTAGTCCATTTCCTTGCCGTGCCATTACACCCTGGAGTTTAACAAACACATATGGAAAAGTGAGATGCTGGCAAGCTGCCGGCTAGGATGATGGAGTCTTTATCTGAGCAATCAGCAGGGCTACATTTAGTCATTTGGGTTTGTTGTTGCTTCCATTGTTTCCTTGCCAACTTATTTCCTATATTGAGAACCATCATAACCTGTTCTTAAGTAAATGGAAACCAAAGGCCTATTTATGTAATGCTCCCTGTGGCTTCTGACTTGGTGTTTTTCATTTTGTGAGCTCCTCTTGAAACCTGCCACTCTCGTGGTTAATAGCATAGGCCCTGGGACTGGGCTTTCTGGGTTCAAATCCAAGTTCTTAGCTGTGTGACCCTGGACAAATTGCTTAACCTCTGTGAAGCTTGGTTTTCTCATCTGTAAAATGGGAAATGATGTTAGTTGCTACCTCATAAGGTTCCTGGGAAGATGAAATGTGTGTTTCAAATTCAGTACTGAGGAAGCTTGGCCTTTGGTTCAGGACTCAGTAAGCCTTAGTCGTGTCTTTTCATTGCCAGTACTTAGCACAGAGGCTCGTACTCCTAAAAGGTGGCAGAAGGGAATCCTGTACGAATCCTTTAGTGATATGAGAGTATTGTTTCTCATTTTTGTGTTTAATGCTTTTGTGGGTAGGGGTGTGCATAGAGACCCAAAGGCCTAGATTTGAGTCCTGGCGTTCCCATGTATAGGCTAAGTGGCCTTGAAAGATTAATTTTTCTGAGCTTGCTTCCTCACCCATAAAATGGGGGGAAATAATTTCTTCCTTGTAAATACCTTATTTGTAAAGGTAATAGAATTGAAGATAATATGGCTAAAGAGCCAAATAGAGGACATAGTTGGTACACAAGACCTGGTCAGTGACTGGTAGCTGTTATTTTCCCCAGTAGATGCAAAAGAGTAAAAACCTTGAACACATTTGCTTCTTTCTGATGGGTCAAAGTCCATTGCCAAGTGAATTGGGTTTTTTTAATGATTCCCTTGAATGTATCTTCTGCCCCGGACTTCATCTAAAGGAAGGAGAGATTGGGTGAACATCTGGTTCACTTAAGCCAAGTCTCCTTCATTGTCCACATGAATTTTGGACAGTGGCCCCTGTACTCTAGGTGATGATAAGAGCAACGATGTAGTCTAACTCAGTCGCTTTAGTCCTTTAGCTAATGTGGTCCCATTTGTAAGCATTGGTGTCCATGGCAGGTAAGACACAATCTCTCTTCTCCCTGATTTGTGCTGGCTTTGCTCATAATCTTGAAAGAAGAAGGAAGACAGACAGATTGAAACCGGCAATAGAAACTTTGTGGTTACGGAATTCCTTCTTTAGATGATGTTTTCCTCTTCCATCCCCACCCGTCCCTTCCCCCTACTAAATATAACAGCATCTTCTATAAAGAAAAGAAGGAAATTAACTACCAGTCTTGTTTTGATCCCAGAAACTTTGCTGTTTTAAATGCTACTTCTAGGAGTGTTGGAAGAGAAACAAGACCTGGGGCTTTTGGGAATTAAGATCGGCATTAGTGTTGAACATGCCATTTGTTATGTAATCTGCTTTTTCAGACTGGGGCAACGGTCAAGTTCTTACCCTCAAAACTTCGTCTTCTCCATTCAGTTCAAGAGGTCAATCTTGGCCCCAGGTTTTTTGTTTGTTTGGTTTTTTATCTTAGATGCTACCATATCAATGTGAGTGAAGAGTGAGAAGTTTTTAACTTTGCAGGAACCCCTTAGTTTCAGAAGAAAAGTTGTTTGCAAGGAAACTCAGCTTAACTCAGGGAGAAGTTTGGGCAGGGAAAGGTGAGGACAAAGGAAGCATTCTGAAATCATTCCATGGTTTATACGAATTGGGGCAGAGGTCAGAGATCAGGCTGAGAGTGTGGATGTTCTAGGTGTTTTCCTTGTCCCGTGTTTCTTTCTTCCCCCAATCAAGTTGCTTTCAAGGAAAATAACCCACTCAGCTAAAGTGTCATGAAAATGGGTGTTAAGCTCAGGGGACATTGAAGCCCTACTATGTCCCAGCTGTTGGCCTTGCTGAGGAGAGGGGACAAGATGAGTTACACAGTCCCCCTTGCTTTCAGGAGTCTTGGGGTTTTATGGAGAAACAGACCCACATTATAAATAATAGGAGCCAACACGAACAGATCATCTGCTTTGTGCTGCACACTTCCCATGGATTACCTCTTGTAATCCATGTAACCTACCCATGAGGTGAGCTACGGAAGCCCATGATGCAGTTGAGGAAAAGGGTGCTCTTAGAAATCGACGGACTTCCCCATAGTCTGTTGACTATCACTTACAAGGATTATCATTCATTCCACAAACATTATCAGACGCCTCCTGTGTGCCAGCTGTTTAGAGTCCTAGGAGGAAAGGCACATTCTCAGGGAGGTCAATGCCAATGCACAGTTGACATCTTTGAGGAAGTTGTCTAGAGTAAGTTGTTATTCACACTG